CTGGAGAAAATGGTCAAAGAAAAATACACGGAAGCCTATAGCGATTGCGCCTGATATCCACGGTGTCACTTACAGACTGAAGCAGATTGCTGGACGGCAAGGCGTCCACGTGGTTTGGTCTGCGCCGAATAAAGCATATTCTATATGTCACATGGTACACCAGGAGGGAGCATTCAAAGGTGAATTTTGTGACATTGTTTACAGGACAAAGTATGCATCGTGTGAAAAAGGAGTCATATACAATATCCCATTATCATGCGGTCGATAGTACATAGGCCAAACCGGTCGTTGATGCAACAAGGGAACATGCTGCGTCGTTAAGGAACATATCAGCAGGGTGACATCTACCAGTCCGTTGTCGAGAATGCCGGTGCACTGCAAGTTTGAAACACATCAAGGCTTTAGGAAACAAAAAAACGAAAAACTTGCGCGTGAAATCTTCGAGGCATTGGCCATCGATGAAAAAGACGAAAAATGTGTCAGTGCACCTTCCCTGACGCTGCACAAGCGAGAAAAACTATTTCTGCGGGGTCCTGAAAGACACGAAGCTGCTCTACGTTTGTAAATAGGTATAGAAAAAGATGAAGACGGCTTTAATCCAGTTTCTAAGTAAGGGAGAAGAGGCCCCAGCGAAAACGCCATTTGTACGATAAATGTCTTGTGTCCAGCAAACACATATGAATCATACAAGATATATAAGAAAATATAAGAACCACATAAAAAAGCTTAAAAGAAACTTCTCACAAGTTTAATATATGGTTTTTATATGCTCTTATTTATCTTGTATAGTTATTAAATTGTTCTTGTATGGTTCGTATGTGTTCTCATGTGTCTTGTATGATTCATATGTGTTTATTGGACACAGAAATTTCTCATACAAATGAGATATTTCAATAGGGGGTTCCAATCCAGGTTGTAAATATTGAGAGTAATGAAGGAAGAAGAAGGTTTTAATAGTTGATAGTCCAGCGGTTGTACATTTCCTGTGTTTATTAGTGTTCAACTGGCACCACCCAAGAATCTGACTACCCGCGTTTTATAATGGCGTAAATTTTCCACGGCAAAAACGCTGAAAGGAATCGGAAAGACAAAAAACAAGTTAAGTTACGAAGGATATTACAATGATATTGTAGTGAGTGCGCAGGCGAGCTGGTGGAAATTAACCATTCTGATGTTAGCCTGAGACTGAGGCAGGAAAAGAGGAAGTTTCAAAGTAGAACTTTGAAACTTCCTCTTTTCCTGCCTCAGTCTCAGGCTAACATCAGAAAGGATATTACGGAGTTCCACTGCAGCTGTAAATCTTGCCTCAGGCGTTTTGCGTATACAAAAGGAGCCTACGTGCTCAGCGCGAAAGCGTGTCAATCTTCTTAATGCTTCACTTCGGCGAAATATTTATAGACAGTGATTCACCCCAAGATTCGTCTAACAAACTGATAGATGTACGGAAGCTAGTAAAACAAATTAACTCATAATATTTTGTTTTTCCTGAGCTAAGTGAATTTCCACATTTTCTGTTAGAGGCTCACTAGCGACAGTGAAAACTAGACGTTAAAAGTTGTAACAGCTTGTTTCCAACAAGTTTCAAGAAGTGCGATGGTGCGAAATGTATGCTGGGGAAGCTCACACAGTCGCACCAGTTAAACAACAAAAAAACGCAAAAAAAAAAGTTTTTTTTTTTTTTTTTTTCAGAAAGCCTTCTTAACTTTTAGGTCGTACAACACGTGACATGGCCCATTGGAGGTGAAGGTAAAAATACGCAGGCGCGCTGGTCAATTCACTCCATCATGAAAATTCCAATAATAAAAAAGAAACGAAAAACGGAAAAACACTCACACTGTTTTAGGCGGTGTGTGCGCTTACCAGTTTTTTTATTTATCATTATTATTAACAGTTTCGAGCTGTTGATCAGATTTGGGGAGCGCAGCAAACTTTGAACGTTGCTTTTCGCATAACATCTATTAGCCGTTTTCTCAATAGACTGTTTTGAATTTCGAAATACTCAATATCATACTGAAAAGAATAAAAACTATGTATACCGAAAAATTGTTGGTTCACTTATTTATTTATTTACGTACCCTCATTGCCATTGGCATTATAGAGGGGAGTGGGAAACACAAAAATAACAGCAAAAACACGACAGTAATTTTATACTTACTTCATGAGGGCCCAAGCCAGTGAACAACTGATAATATCCAAGGGATACAATAGAAGCCAGAAGGTGGTTCCATTTCACAGAAGTTTCAGGAACGAATGAATGGCCAAATGCGATAGTTTTACAATCTGGGAAACCCACTTTGAGCAGATGGTCAATTTGTGGTGAAATAAAAAAAGTGTAGTGAGAAGTCGTTTGTTAAAGGACGGGTTACCATGATATAGGAAAGAGAGGTTAGGCAGGGATACATTGGCTTTCGCTAACGTTACGCTTACATGGCGAAGATAATTACCGAGAATAAAACGAGCTGATCGGTTTTTGTGCCGTCTCAAGAGTAGAAATTAAATAAGATTAACTGAAGTCCCAGATAGATAAAGCATATTCTAGTTGAGAGCAAACGCGAATTTTATACAGTATTGATTTTAAGACTTACATTGAAAGAAAACAATTTCTTTTTAAGTAATTCAGCGTGCGATTAGCGTTATTGACATATTCAACGTACGTTTGCCAGGTCATGTTACAAGTAATCTGGGCGCCAGAATATCTGCATATGAAGGTTGTTAGGATGGCAGGATGGTACAGAAGTATACTTATCTGACAATCATAATTGTATGTGTGTGTGTGTGCGTGCCAAGTTCTATATTTCTTAATTTCATACTTGTGCCTATCCTAAATACTCTACCCAAGATAGTGTATCCACCTTTTGCCAAATAAGTGAGACCACCTATAGTCGGTTACAGGTTAAGAAGGTAGCTGCAAATGCCCCTCAAAAGGTATCATATATCCCTCCGCCACCTCCGCATCCAATAGCGTCCCATCGTTTCCGTGACGTCGCGGCCAACGCGCGAGGAGGGTCTTGCCTTCCAGTACACATTTGCTTTATCTTTCGACTTTGACTTAGCATTGTGGAAGCCACGAGAGGGAGATTGAAGTTTTCCCCTTCCGATCGAAACAAATACGACTTTCGGGGATTAGCTTCCCCCCCGATGGATACAAAGGCTGCTCTCTGGGGCTCGGTTCCCCCTCGAATGAATACAAAGGTCGCTTTCTTAAAAAGTGGGATCGGAGACAAGTTGGAATTCATTGAAGCGGAACAAGGAGCGTTTCCAGTGAAATCTTCTTTCGACTGCGGAGAGATTTGAAACGGGCGCATCACGCTTGTGGGAGGAGCTTCTCCTACCTTCTTGACTTGTAACCGACTATAGACACGTTACTGGGTTCGAGACTATACTCGTTTTCACCTTAAGAACCGAAGTAAAACAAGTCCGGCTGGTGGCGGACTGTTCTGGGTTTCCACCAATGAAATGCCGCGATATCGCGTAGACTTAACCATTCTCCGTCGGGAAGTGGTGGGATCCACAATTAGAGACCGAAACCAAAACGAATTTAGCACTGCAGCATCCTCTAGTGGCAAAAAGCTAGAACGTACCTCGTTAAATAGTGTTTGTTTTTGATAAACATGTTTATGCTCTGCAAATTTTGCATCGCTTCTTTAAACTGTCTTCAATAAACATATCTTTGTATATCTAACATTGTTTATACCGTCAGATTTCTAAAAACACTATGAGAAAAAAAAATCAGTACGTGCCAGTTTTAGCGTATTTACAGTTTTTAACGGCAACCATGGAGCGCTAAAGCAAAAAGATCAGCTGACATCATCGACATCGCCGCAAACTTGATGAACTGGGATTGATCAGACCTGCTACCAGCCACGAACCTATGTTTGCATAGTTTATTCTGTCCTAATATACCTTTGTTTACGTTATTGCGTTGACGTTCATGTGTATGTATTGAGTGGGCAATCGGTTTCCTTGTGTGTCGCGGTGAATTTCAATTTTTATTTAATTCCGTTTTCTTAAGTTCCGTGGTGTGGGGATGGTGGTACAAATCCCGATTATAAGCAGAAACAGCGTGGTTGATGTGAGTTACGTTCTTCCAGGATCCCATCAAAGCTTCTGCTTGTTGCCAGAGTGGCCCTGTGTGAGGATGGCGATAAGAATCCCGATTATAATCTGAAGCAGCATGGTGGATGAGAGATACGTTTATTGCCAGAGCGACCCCAAGGCATGTGGATGGCATTTTGTGAGTTTACTTTCCCACAAACTGCCTGGGGAACTGATCACTGCAATAAACGAGCTATCTCAATGAAAGACTGGGCTGAACATGATGTTTAGACTTCAAAATGAGGTGTAAGCGACACTGAATATGCATGAGGTGAGCAAGTGAAATGTTAAGCTCAGGGTCACATTCCAGAACAATGGTCGACTTTCGGCATGCCGCCAACACTACGTCTTCGTTCTTGAATGAAAACGACCTTTAAAGTGTAATTGTACGCATATATGTTTAGAATGCATCAGGGCAAAATGGCGCCTGACACCTCTGCTGTATGGGCAAATTAGCGAGTGCAGTACAACTGCGATTTTTTTTGTTTTTGTAGTGTGAATCTTTGTACACAGTGGGATACATACAGCTGATTTCAAAGACCTCGAGAAGCCATGAACAAGGCTATTACGTAATGAAAGGTAGAATCACGACAACAACATGACACTGGAGGTTAGGCGTGTATGAAGTCGGGAATCCGATTTTGCAGTATGTGAATGGTCTTTAAAAGGGCCGCTCTGTGTTCTGGGGTATGACAAACAGACTCAAAAGTTCTAGCCACTTTCAGAAGAAAACATGTCCTAAGGGGACATTAGTTCACGGTCAATTCCATTTAAAAGGCTGAACACCGACACCGGAGATTTCTTCATTCTGATCCTCGTCGTCAGTTTCGTCGTCGTCTCCACTCTCCTCCGTGTCGCTTGCATCGAGGGGTATGATGACTGGCTCGAGGTTCGACTCTGAAACATCACATTCTCGAAACCTCGCCTCCATTTTTTTTCACATGTTCTGCCATGTGAAAAATGTCATGCCAATGGACAGCTGTTACGTTGTCCACTGCTTCCCTCAAGAGCCGCTCGACGTCAATGGGCTTGAATGTGATGTTCTTGAAGGCGACCTCCTGCTTGACTCGTGCCCATATCAACCCTATGGGGTTTAGTTCCCAATGGTACGGTGGGAGCCTCAACACTGTGTGCCCGGCGTCCGTAGCCATGACGTCAACTTTGTACTTTGTGTAGCGATCCTTCACCGTTGCCACAATGCTCAGAAGGTCTTTTTTCTTCATTGTGGCAGTCCAGTCTAGGCTCTTTGAAGAGAGCCACTGCTGGATCTCGCCCTTTTTTGTTGCAGTTGTGGGAACAGCTTCAGCCTTTCTGCTGTGGTATGGCGCGTTGTCTATAACAATTACGCTGTTAGGCTCGATGTGGTCCAGCAGATGAAGAAACCATGCTTCAAACCTGTTCGAGTCCATTTCATCGTGGTAGTCCCCCTTTTTCTTCTCACAGAACACGTCCAGGCAGCCGGACACGAAGCCAGTGTCACTACCTGCGTGGGTGACAATCACTCTTTCACCTTTTCCAGAAGGAACCTTTAGCCCGGTCGTCAGTCCAGACATGAAGGCTTGCCTTGCTGACTTTATGGTGCTATCAGTCCACACCTTGACAAATGTGAGGCCGGCGTTCACCCAAGTCTCGTCCTGGAAGTAGATCTTGCGGTTCTGGGCTCTGTGCTTTCTGATTGCCCTCAAATACCGCCGCCTCCACTCGACGATGTCCTCTCTCTCAATCAGGAGGGTGTTGCGATTCCGTTTCTGTTTCTCGAAACCCATGTCCTTCAGCAGGCGATACAGGGCAGACCCGGAACAGGACGGCAGCACTTCGTCTTGTTGGAGACGACCGGCGATTTTCTTCAACGTTGGGATCTCCCCCCGACGGAAGAAATTGTGCAGGCAGCTTCTCACGGCCGTCAAAGTGCAAGCGCAAACTTTTATTGGAACTACTTCGCAGAACGGAATAATATGTGCGACGGCATGCGACCAATAAGTATGCGACGAGAGGGACACACCCACTTTTTTCTTAAGGTGAAAACGGGTATAAATGGATAGAAAACAACGCGCGCGCGAGGTATATCTCCCACCCGTTCGACACTCCAAACGTCAGCTACATCTTGTTTGTCCATTGAGCCGCTGCGGTCTAGGCACGGCTCCCCTAAACTTCGCCTTTGTCCCCATCGTGGGTTACCTCCTGCCCCGAAGTGAATACAAAGAAACCATCACCCTTCTGCTCGGCCAGAGGGAAGAGAGGGAGGGCACCAGATCTACAGGGTGGTTCAAGGAGACGCCCGGCTCTTTAAATCGACCGGAAAATTCGGTTTCTCAACCTATCGTGCTACGACTTTGTACAGCGTTGCCCACAGTAGGTGATTTTTTTTTTGTCAAATTTGCAAAGAGCGACTTTACCTGAGGAAAAAGTAAAGAAAGAAAAAGGCTTAGCTCCTATGGAAACGCAGCGACGCCACCGGTCTGCAAACAACACGGCGCCGTTTCGCAAGGGAGACAAGAGATGGCGCAACGAACGCCGCCAACGAACGAGCATACGGGCGCCGAGAGCCGGCCTCATTAGCAGACGATCTTTTCGACTCAAAAGCCGCGTGCGTTCCGCAGGCGGTGACAGTCGCAGAAACAAAAACAGGCGCGGTAACAACAAGACACTGCAGTTCCTTGTCTGCCAAAGACGCCGGCTCTCGGCGTCGTATGCTCGTTCGTTGGCGGCAGTTGGCGTTGCGACCGCTTGCGCCATCTTTTGTCTTCCGTGCGAAACGCCGAAACTTTCATACGAATCAAAAGAGTTTTAGATTGTCAGGAACGTGGGTAAAAAGTATCTTATACCTAAGTTTGTCGTCAGGAACATGAAACAAAACCTTACCAAGTAAGACTGGCGAGTCAATCGTTTGCAGCTAAAGGACAAACGTAAACGGTCAGCAAAGGCGATTTTAACACTGCTGAAAATGTATTAGACATACCCACCACTTCATTATAAGGGTAGTCAGCCCACCGTGCTATACCTCGTCATCATGAAAGTTTTCTTATCTTCCACTATTTGGAGACAAAATAATTTAATGTAGTATCACCACCACAGAGGGCCGCATAAAAATACTTTTCTTTTCAGATTGGCTGCTGCCTTCCAAGGCGCTCCCACATTCCAGAGCCCATTTGATCGAAGCACTAACCGCGGCTAAAGTTAGCCGCAGTACCTAGGAGGGGGATTTTGAGATCACGTGACTGGCTCGGTAGGTATGCGGGGACACATGGCGGTGCCCCAGTGAGTGAGCGCCGGTCGCTTTGGAACTAATATGTCGTAGTGGTTGCAATATCGGGCGCGTTAGTCAGCAACGAATGGTGCAGGAGGCTTTCGCTTTGCCTTACCTCACTTAAGCCGCAAAGCATGGGCAATTGCATCGCTGCATTTTTTAGATAGTGTTTCGATTCTGGGCACCCCTAAGTCTAAATGAACGCGATAATTGTGGGCATAGCAACATCTTTGGAACGCGGATTGTTGATAGCACACAAAAGCAGACGGCGTCCCAACAGACCTTTTCTCTAAATTATCCAAGCACCGAGGTCCATGCTACGACTGTAGTTGCACGCGTCGCACGTGCTGGCGTCTGCAGTAGTAACCGCTCTAAAGCAAAAAGTATAAAACAAATTTTGCCTTGCACGCGCGTTCGTTAAAGCCTTATTATGATTTTTACTTAAAATCTTTTATAAGAGGAAGGCCAGCGCGCGTGAACCGTAGAATTACACTTTCAGCGTTCTCCTCGCGGTGCTTGGATAATTTAGAAAAAAAAGTGTCGGGACGCTGTCTGCTTTTGTGTGCTATCAACAATCCGCTTTCCAAAGACGTTGCCATGCCGACAATTATCGCGTTCATTTAGGCTTAGGAATGCCTAGAATCGAAACACTATCTAAAAAATGCGGCGATGTGATTGCCGATGCTTTGAGGTTTAAGTTAGGTAAGGCAAAGCGAAAGCCTCCTGCAATATTCGTTACTGACTAACGCGCCCGATATTGCAGCTACGACGACATATTAGTTCCAAAGCGACCGGCTCTCACTCACTGGGGCACCGCCATGTTTCCCCGCATCCCTACCGAGCCAGTCACGTGATCTAAAAATCCCTCTCCATGTACTGCGGCTAATTTTAGCCGCGGTTAGCGCTTCGAGCAAACGGGCCCAGAGGAATATAGTCGTTTCTCGAGACCACACCAATTTTAAGAATTCGTGCTTTAGCGTGCGACTATTCGCTATTGCTGCTAAAATGTTCTCTGCCCAAATGTGGTTGTTGTGTGAACCAGGGGCCGCACCAAAAGAGTTGGGACTGGATGCCAAGATTCCCTCTCATGAATTTCCTAACTGCCAACAGTACAAAAATGAGGATATATGCCGCCAAAATTGGTAAACAGTGCCTTTGGACAACAATCACTTGTTCGTAAAGCCCACTGCTATAAGCCAATTCACTAAAAAGTGTAAAGCATGTTTGTAATATTATTCCATGAACACAAGAGTACCGTAAACTTACCACCCAAACTACGTTCCAAATGTGTTTGTGTTCAAATGGTAAAGACTCGTAGACCATGTTGACATCTGACTTTCATAGATCACTGTACCTTCTCAACATTCTTGGGAATTTCTGGGGTGTAATATGAGCCTTACCTAATTCACTGAAGCCACTAAAGTAAGTAAACTTAGTAAGGTACCGTACACGTAACATCAACAGAGCCAACGCAATAAAGAGCTCAGAAACTTTTACTGACACTGGCAAACAATCAATTTCAATGTTTTGTTCATGTGGGACGGTGCTTTTCTTGCCCACGTCGAAACATGAATGCGAGGAGCTGGTGGGGCTGTCGAGCACCTTATCTGCAAGTTGATGTATGACTATAGGTGCTTTCGAAAGCTGAAATGATGAATACACTCGGCCAACGGAACCGAGCATCACGCGACCTAAAGCAGCTTCTGTCAGATAGCGCTACTTCCTTTGCATTTCCGGGATCAATAAGAAATTGTTCGTTGCAGAAAAAAAAAGATGAATTGTGATTGAACGAGACACTTGATCGCTGCGACTTAGGATCATTTAATAGATGAGGGTGTTCAACAGGAAGATTTGGGGGGAGGGGGGGGGGGGCAGGGGTAAGTAACCTATCAGAGATGTAATATATGGTAGGGATCATAACTATAGACATGGTAAGGCCTACTTATGGTTTGATGTGGTGTTTTTGTAGTCCGTCATTTCATTAGGAAGAGTTTGCATTCACACAAATATTTAAATATACAAAAAAAAAAAAACTTAGACGCAAATTACGCGATCTAAGCCATTAGCATCGTAAGTAAGGGTTAGATTGAGAAAGGGAGAGGGACAGCAAGGACGAGAAAGGAAAAATGTTCGCGTCTTATCCTCGACTGCCCACACCCCCATGTGGATACCAGCAGTTTTTGAAATGATGTCCCGACGCCACTGCGATCGGTGAAATATATTTGTATTCAATCCTTGGACGTTTCGCCCATACCGTGCTGCCTTGTAGTGCCGCATATTCAGATAGAAGAGTCGCAGCACCCCAGTGTTCAGGCACAGCGCCTCGAAATCACCGTTGTTTGTTATGCAGCCTTGCGCCTTCCGTGCTGCGGCTTGGTATTCTTGACAGCAAACAAACTCGAGGAAGATCACCATCGGTGCACAACAATCGCATTGGCACCTTTGCAGAAGATTGACATCAAATATGCATGCTAGCATTTCAATAAAACGCGCATCCCATACCAGTCCCTGTTGCCGAGCCGCTGGTCACCGTCGTCGAGTGCATCCTCAGCCTCGCGCACCTCTACCTCTTCGTCGAGCGGCCTCGGCGGGCCGTCGATGTTCGGTTCGACCGCGCTCCAAACACAGGCGTCCCGAGTCGGCATCGCGTCATACGAAAATGACCATAATACCGCTGGGAATTTTCCCTGAGAACGAGTGTGTCAGCGGTCTCTGAGCATTTTCTTGTCAACAGAAAAATACATTACACACAATTGTAACGTTTTATATTTTGGGATGCTTTGAGCACGTAGATCACCTTACCACCATAAAATCCTGCGACCCGATAAGGGCGTCGGAGCAGGGCACCTGACAACACGCCATGGTCGATACCACGGAGGCCTCGTTACCGCTACAGTAACAACGCCGTCTGTGACAAAAAGTTTTTTTTTTTTTGTTTTTTTTTTTTTTGTAACGGCAACTGAACTAGCGGGATTTCTATCCCATCGGCACTACGCTACACGATACAGAAGGGCGAAGACATATATTACTTCTCAACGATAATTAACTCAGATAAACTCTTTTTTAGAACGTGGGTTTTCAACGATGTTTGGACGGCCGCAGCCCTGTAATTGACCACTTCTGCTCAAAACGTCGCCATTGTATTAATATCCCCCCGCCTCTCTCAGAATCGGTGGTAAATTGAGCGTATGGTTGTCTCATAAAATGTTGCCGAACAGTTGGCTACTCTAGCGGACGGCAATGCAGCGGCGGTATACCTTAATCCGAAGTTGGTTCGTCTTGCAGCAGGCGACTTTTGGTGAGCAGACGGCAGCCAGCTCCTTCGTGCCTCGAATTTAATGCAGTGACACAAACGCTCCCGTGACGTGGTGTCACATGCCTCGCTCCGACACTCTTATTGGGTCGCGGTGGCCGTAGCCTCCACAGTACGCTAAGATTGGTACGGCTGCTGCCGCCCAAGTGGACGGGATATTGTCGTTGTTCCTAGAATTCGTGGGTAGATCGGCCGTCACAAAGAAG